GCGTCGCTCCACCTCCCGCTCATCGCTCGATTTTTTTAAATGCCTTCCGAGTCCGGCCTACCGTCTCCTGCATCCTCCATCGCTCAAACGTGTAAATTTACTACTCAATAACTAATGTTACTTTGTACCGCAGTACATGATATTTCTCCTTAGTTTAACCCAATCTACCACTATTTTCAAAGTTGCTACTTTTGCATCAGACACCCTGTATATACAACCTCCCCTATCTTCACTCTGCAGACGCTTTATCCCCTCTCTTGTATAAGTCTATGTACATACGTGCATCACAGGGTTGGGAAGTAACTCGTTACTTGTAACAAAGTTACAGTTACTTTTTTTTGTAACTCTAACTTTGTTACTTTCCATCTGTAACTGTAACCAGAGAGAAACCTGAAAGCGGCCACGCCGACGTTTTACTCAATACCGTTTTAGGAAACTGTTTTGCGCGCTCTTACGCCCATTTTTACTTTTGGACAATTTTGCTGTGCATCTTCTGACACTGCCGATAAAGTCTCCACTTTGTGCGCGTTCATGCCGCGCCTATTTTTCAGTGAATTTCAAAATTACATTAACATAAATTATCTGCATGATGTTCACATTAATTTTATTCATGTAGTCAATGTAAATTTTATAAATTAGATGTCAGAATGCATAGCACAGACATGCACCAGTGGAAATTTTATCGGTGGAGGTAGAAAATGCGTAATGAAATAGTTCCAAAAGTAAAAATGGGCGTAAGAGCGCATAAAACAGTCTCCTGAAACGGTATCAAGTAAAACGCCGGCGTGGCCGCTCTCAGGTTTCTCTCTGCTGTAACTTAAGTCGGTTACATTTTTTTCGATAACTAGTAACTAATGTAGCAGTTACTTTATATATTTTTTAAACCGCTACAGATCGCATCAGGCCTCGCATTTGCACATAAACGCCTTTATCGACACTTTACAATTCAAATGCAGACTTGATATTTTTATTTTTATTGCAAGTAACGATTTGTTCATTTTTGAGCAACAGTAACTGTAACGCGTTACTTCTCAGAATTGGTAACTTGTAACTAGCTACATTTTAGCGAAAAAACTGTAACTGTATATAACCAGATACTTTTTTTTATAAAGCAACTTCCAACCCTGGCGCACATTATATGTTCAGAGAAACATTACATAAAACAGTTCCTGCTTGCATAAAGTGCAAATTTGAAGATTATCGTTGTAAGTATCCTTGACGTATTGCAACAGCTCCGCTATGCTTCTCACTCCCATGTAATATTTACCATCCTGAAAACTCCACTTTATTACATTTCCCTTCGAGACCACGTCAAAATCATGTGATATAAAAATTTGGGTACCTTGCTGCACAGCCACTTTCTATGGACCATCTCGTGTAAGAACTGTTCAGCGTCGGCCTTGCTCAGTTTCATATTCAACGACGAGCATAAATTGAGGCAAAACGTGCTCGACACATAACCATTGCTCGAAGTGACAATCTCAGAATATATGTTGCGCAAGAGAGCCAATTCCGCTTGCGAGAACTCGGGGTGAAAGCTGAAAAACGGTCAACAGTTTGACGAAGCTTGCGGTAATCGTGATGTCATGTCAACTGACGATATTCAACCAGGTATTACCTGGCAATTTTGTCCTGCACCGTGTTCACAAAGACCCAATACAGCTGACCGGTAACTTCGCAATTCAGGCACTTTACGGCCATGCACAACGGTCGTAGCTTTGCATTTATCTCGCTCAATATCCTCCCCGTATTGTCATGATCTGAAATACAACGTTCAATTTGCCAAAGCAAAGTAGCTTAATTTTAGAAGGAAAAGGCAACACAAGAAAGGTGACATTTAAGTCCCAGTCTACAATGAATTGTTAGTCGTTGGTCAGAAGTCAGAACTATATGTTGATCCTTTTCCTTTCAGAGTGGAAGAAAACGGACCGTCATATATGACTTCCAACAACTCATTGTAGACCAAGCCTAAAGGTTTAGACAAGTCAGTTAAGGGGGAAGAGATTAGGGAGGAGGTGAGAAGAGTCAGAGCACAAAACAACGTAATAGCTTACGACAAAGACGTAAGCGTAAACATAGCTTAACGCACAAGCTTGGCGTATATCATACTTACCTCCAATTACATATGACGTTACATTCACGCCGAAGCTTGTGTGCTATCTACATATACGTTTGCATCTTTGTTGTGAGCTGTTACGTTATTTTGTGCTCTGATTCTAAGGCTGATGGCAGAGAACGATCCGTAAACGCTCAAGACTGTCTTAGTTGTGGACATGAGGCAAGGCAGAGTAAAACTTAAGTTGTGTAAAAGAGACTTTTTTTATTTTCAGTCACGACTTAAGACAGTCTTAAAGAAAAACTCAAGTCGTGAAAGTCTATTGTATAAAACTTATGTTTCTCTCTGCCTTTGTCTTGGGACCTTACGTGTACGACTTAAGACTGTCAGCGCTTACGGATTGTTCTTTGCCATTTGCCGTCAGCCTAAGAGAAGATGTGGAAAGTAAAATAAAAGAAGAGGAAGAAAAATGAAAGGGGGTTGGGAAGATAGATCGGGCGAGATTAACAAGGCTCTCTCTGTAAAAAAAAAAAAGATAAAAGAATTATCACTTAGGGGAGATGAAGGTAGCGCAGAAATTCGATTTGCCTTCCTTCTATGTATATTTTTATTATCGCGAACGAAAGATCGTCCACATTGTTTACCTCGTCAAACTTACGTACCAAATAAGCTAATGATCAATTCCTTTCCGCGATCCTCGTGTACAGCCCCCTCGTGCATGATAGCTTGCAGCACGATCTTGTGTTGTACGCCGTAAGTCATTATTCGATTGATTCGCTCGACGAACTGGGAAAAATTACAATTAACGCAATTATCGACGACAATCGCGACCTTCTTCTTCTGATTGTGGCGCCCAGCTTCCAGCACAAGCTGACGCGGCCAAGACAAACCAATAGTCGAGATAGGAAAACACACAAAAAACACAGTATAACCAGTATGCCCACTCGCTCTTTTGTTTCACGTTCGCGCCGATCCGTACTGCGCATCCGACATGTTTTAGCTATGACCAATCACAGGATTTTTGTACGTGTGTTAGTGCAAAGTCGGTGTGACATCGAAAAATTTGCAGTTTTGACGAAAAACGCGTTAATACTTTTATACGTTGGAGCAAGTAATTACATTAATTACTTTTATTAGAACATTTTTTTCATAGGCCATTTCCATTTACAATAAATAATGTACGCTAGTTCGTACGCGCCTTTCCTGGATACGATCCTGAAAAGGGCCCAGGCACTTTTAGCCGTTGATACACTGTTGGGGCTATCAAAAACATGGCGGAAAATTGAGAACGCCCAGATCAAAGGTGCCGACGAGAGTGGGCATACTGGTTATACTGTGCCCACTCGCTCTTTTGTTTCACGTTCGCGCCGATCCGTACTGCGCATCCGCCGACATGTTCTAGTTATGACCAATCACAGGATTTTTGTACGTGTGTTAAGCCCGCTGCAGACGATGCTATTTTTCCTGCTGGATTGCTTGCGATTTACTAAATTACTAGGAATCCTGAGTGCTGAATGGTGCAACGATAGTAATTTATTAGATTGCAAGCAATCCAGCAGGAAAAATAGCATCGTCTGCAGCGGGCTTTAAGCCCGCTGCAGACGATGCTATTTTTCCTGCTGGATTGCTTGCAATTTAGTAAATTACTAGGAATCCTGAATGCTGAGTGGTGCAATGATAGTAATTTACTAAATTGCAAGCAATCCAGCAGGAAAAATAGCATCGTCTGCAGCGGGCTTTAGTGCAAAGTCGGTATGACATTGAAAAATTTGCAGTGTTGACGAATAACGCGTTAATACTTTTATACGTTGGAGCAAGTAATTACATTAATTACTTTTATTAGAACATTTTTTTCATAGGCCATTTCCATTTACAATAAATAATGTACGCTAGTTCGTATGTGCCTTTCCTGGATACGATCCTGAAAAGGGCCCAGGCACCTTTAGGCTGGGTCTACATAGGATGTAGTAAGTCGTGTCGGAAGAAATTGACCAATCACAGTTCATTATTCTCCTTACGATCGAAGAATAATGAACTGTGATTGGTCAATTTCTTCCGACACGACTTACGACATCCAATGTAGACCCAGCCTTAGCCGTTGATACAATGGCTGTGTTCTGCCGAAGTTAGCTAAGAATAAGCGCTTTATGCTGATTGGATAGATCTAGAAGAATAGCTCTATTTCAGCACAGATCTGAAAGTATAATCCAATGAACGCAAAGCGCTTAGCAAGCGCAAACTTCTGCTGGACACAGGCACTGTTGGGGCGATTAAAAACATGGCGGAAAATTGAGAACGCCCAGATCCATGGACGTAAGAATATATTCTTACGTCCATGCCCAGATCAAAGGTGCCGACAGAGAGTGCAACTACTGGTTATATACTGTGGTTATACTGTGCAAAAAACACGGAGGTAACGACACAGTATATTTTTTGTTTTTAAAAGACAACGCTAAACCAATAAACGCTATAATTAGACCCACAATCATCAGCGAACGATTGCGCATCGATTTAATCGGTTTTTTAGTGAAAATGAGATTTTGTCGGCTAACTTCACCTAATTTTTATTTTTTATTTATAAAAAAATTATAAACCAACAAATATTGTAATTAAGCCAATAATCACCTACAAACGACGAACAAACGATTTGCATAAATAATAGGAAAAAATCGAAGTTAGTGGAAAGTCGCCTTTACCTTCAACTGTGATTCATCACTAAGAGATAATTTTTCGTTTTAAGGAAAAATATTGAACCAACAAACGCTATAATTAGACCAACAATCATCAGCGATTGATTGCGCATCGATTTAATGGTTTTTTCAACGAAAATGAGATTTTGTCGGCTAATTTCATGCTAATTTTTATTTTTTGTTTATAAAAAAATTATAAACCAACAAATATTAATATTAGGCCAACAAACGGCCAACAAACAATTCAAAATTTTTTTTAAGTTGAAGTGGTCGGCTAACTTCAAGCTAAGTTTTGTTTTTGTTTATAAAAAATTATAAATCAACAAACATTGATATTAGGCCAACAATGACTAACAAGCGACCAACAAATGATAAAAAAAATATTGGAAAAGTCGAAGTTGGCCGGCTAATTGCGAATTCGATTGTTTGCACCAAGCGCACTGGGGTGCTTTCGCGACGTAGATCAAAATGATCCGGATCAAAATGATCCGTGCTATGATTGGTCAAATCTGGAATTTCATTGAATAAAATTTCAATGTGATGCTACGAAATTTCAGATTTGACCAATCATAGCACGGATCATTTTGATCCGGATCATTTTGATCTACGTACGTCGCGAAAGCACCCCTGAATGCACACTAAGGCTGAAATCACATGATGCGGAATAGGAGTACGGAATAGAGAGTGCGTTATAGAAACAGGCAATCAGAGCTTTGCCGTATCAACGAGTGACGGAAATGTCTGGCTTTGATTGGTTGCTTCTATGACGCACGTTCTATTCCGCAGCTCTATTCTGCACCATGTGATTTCAGCTTAATGGCTCCTGCCCACTGGACGCGGTAATGTTGCCGTGCGGCGGAACTTGGCTAGGGAAACCAGCGCTGGCCAATCAACGTCTCGTGCGTTCGGATGTGGATTGGCTAGTGCTGGTTTCCCTAGCCAAGTTCCGCCGCGCGGCAACGTTACCGCGTCCAGTGGGCAGGAGCCATAAGGCTTGGTTACAGTCAGTGTTGTGCATAGATGATTTTAAAATTAGCTAAAGATAAGATAAAAATATATAAATTTATCTTAGATAAGATAAAGATAATTTCGTTTTGAATATATCTAGATAAAAGATAAAATTATATGAAGATTCATCTAGATAATTTTCAGATAATATTTTTAAGACTTCATGTAAACGCAGTAGAAAGTTATAAAAAAATTATAGAAAAATATAAATTATAAAGGGGGATATAGAATATATTCAGGTTAAGTTATATGACACACACATAAATGCATGGTCTACAACGCCATCCATATTTAAATAGTGTAACTGTTAAGTATTTCTATGTGGCCCTAAACCAAATTATCTGTACGTTATCTTAGATAATTTAGTAAAGATAACACTTACTTTCATCTAAGATGCAGATATAGATAATACTTATTTTTATTATCTATATAAAGATGAGATAACGCTAAAATTTTATCTAGATAATCATCTATATAATTTTATTTAGATAACAGCAAACACTGTTTATAGTCAATTCTTATATTTAAGGATCGTCTTAAATAGCTGCGTTCGGCATTGCAAATCCGAGCCGTCAGAGTGCTCTTTTACCTCTCAAATCGTTCGGAAATGCACATCTTTTTGCTCTGTGTCATCTCATCTGTGTTCGGCATTAGTAGTTTCAGAGCAAATCGAGCTCCTCGATTCGCTCTGAATTCAAAGACCGAGCTCACAGAGGAGATACTTGTTTTGCGCGCGAAAAGGTATGTTGGTTAAGTGGAGAAACGAGGTACAATTTCTTCTGCATATTGATGAACTTTTGGAATACTTAAAGTTTCCTTTTCATCATCGCTATCTTCAAAAAATACATCTCGAGCAAAATTTAACATAACACAAATCGTATAGTTGTCTTCCATCGTATATCCAACTTAACCTAACCTCATCTCATTCAATCAGAAACGCTAACAATTCTAAAGCCCGCTGCAGACGATGCTATTTTTCCTGCTGGATTGCTTGCAATTTAGTAAATTACTAGGAATCCTGAATGCTGAGTGGTGCAATGATAGTAATTTACTAAATTGCAAGCAATCCAGCAGGAAAAATAGCATCGTCTGCAGCGGGCTTAAAATAAAAGAGTGAAAAACAGAAAATCAAATTACAAACTAAAATTAGTTGACATAAGAATCCTGATTTCTAAAACTTGAAACAATACCATAATAATTACAGCCGATGAACGTTCTTAACCAGGGGAGCGATCGCGTGCACCGATCGAATTCGAATTCGAGAAGGAATATGCCATCCGATACCACTCTTCGTACATGATCAATCTATGGTCTGAGGGAAACTATCCTATAATAAATAAACATGAACCATGAAACCTGTAGAGTAGAGACGTATGAGAAGTCGACCGATCGAATTCGATCGTGCACGCGATCGCTCCCCAGCTCTGAGAGCTCTGAAATCGTTCGGCATTGAGATTAGTGCTCGACTTGCTCGGAGATCACGTGATTCAAGCTCGACATCTGCTCGCTCGCATCTCAGATTTTTTTTGCCGAACGCAGCTAATATCACTTGAAATATTTCTTAGTGAGTGAAATGATCTGTATAGCATCCATACCGATCACTTTTGGCTAAATACTCTTTGAACATGTATTTAAGACAAAGTTAAATATAAAAATTGACTATAAACAGGCCTAGGCGTGCACTCAGTGTGCACTGGTGCAGACTACTGCAGACAACCGAATTCGCCATAAGATAAGTTTTCGGAGGTGTCGCGGGTAGAAGCTTGGGGACTCCCCCGCTGGCCCGTTGGCGACACTGCCGATAACGCGCGTGACGTCAAACCGATCGTCGGCCCGCTCAGCCCCGATTCCCCGAATGCGCGTCGCGCGAATCCGTGAATGCGTTCCGCCAGCCTCAAGAGTGTCACCCTCACTCCAATTCCCGTCATCTCTGCCCGCGGCCGCGGCCCCCGCGGATCGGTTGCGCGAGCTATCATCGCAGCGGCGCGACGCCCGCGAATGTGCCCGGCTGAGATGACCCGCGATTGGTCCGTGCGTGGACGTGTATCACGAGGAGTGACGAGGCGCGACGACGGCAGTGGTGGCGGCGATTACGCACGCCGCGGCTGAGACGAGAGACGAGACGAGGTGGAGCTCGGCGAGGTGAGGGGAGGTGAAGCGCGCGGCGAAGCGCGGCGAGGTGAGGTGGGACGGGGCGAGGTGAGGCACGGCGCGGCGGGGTGAGACGGGGAAGGCGAGCTGTCCGTCGAGGCCGCGACCCTGAGCCCGATACGAAGACGCGTGCACGAATTCGCGCGGGTGCGGCGGACGCGATCAACGACGAAAACTCGACGGCGATTAGTGTCGGAGTCGCCGCGGGCGAGGGCGACGCGAGGTGAGGAGACGCGAACCTGCGAGGAGGCGACTCCGGCCGGCAGGAAGAGCGGCGGGCCGGGCCGCTATCGCGGGCGATCCGCCGCGATCCGAAAGGTCGCGGGTTCACGATCGCCCTCCCCGGTCGTCCGAAGAATGACGATTCGGCGGTGCGTCTGACGCGGCGGCGGTGGCGGCGGCGACGGCGACGACGACGGCGACGGCGACGGTGACGACGGCGGCGGCGGCGGCGGCGGCGGTGGCGGCGGTGGCGGTGGCGGTAATTCCTCCCAGTGCGCCGGGGGACGACGAGTCGCGATCATCGGCCGTCCCGATCGCCGATCAGTCGTGCACGCTCTCGCTCGGAGTCGAGCGGACCTGTGTTGACGTTCACGCTGAGACTGACGTGACGGAGCAACGAATGTGAGTCTCGCCGCGCGGAAACGTCGGGCGTAAGGCACTTGCCGCCCTCCTCCAGTACAGTGTGTGCTGTTTTGTGACAGATACACAATTGCATTGATACGCATACGCGTTCGCGCGCGGAGAGCAAGATGCCGCTCTTCGGGAAGAAGGACACGAACAAGAAGATGAAGAAGGACGGCAAGGACGACCGCTCGCCCTCCGTCGAGGACAAGTACATCCTCAAAGATCTGCTGGGAACGTAAGTTCCCCGTCCGCCCCCGGCATACGACATACCCTCCCCCTCTTCCCGTTGTTGCCCTCGGCGGCGCGGAGAGCTGAGGGCGCACGTTTCTAACACATGTTTCTCTTTTGTAACGAGCGCGTCGCACGGACGACCCTTTAGCGGCGCGGTTTAATCGCCGGGGCGATTATATCGCGTCCGCGACGTTTCACGATTGCCGGGCGGGAATTTAGCGGATTAATTTGATATAGTGCTTCAACGGATATCCAATTTCCGGCCTGATCGCCATTTACGCTTATTAAAGGGAGCTAACGACAGACCCCGAGATCTCAATCTCGCGTTTTACTCCGGAAAAACACGTCATTGCGCGAATCCGCGCCAGATGCGTACGTGCGAGCAACGTGTGCGTCGAGTGTATTTTCTTACGCGTTTGCATCTCGCGCTCGTATTTCTCAGAGAGAGATAAACTGTAGCCGCGTCCTCGTAACACACACGCACGCATTTCCGATAAGTCCCCCCCTCCCCCTCCCCGCCGACAAGGATCCGGGTTACATAATTTACACGCCGCGTTCCTCCGCTACGTTTCTGCGTCCGCTCGCGCATACGGCGATAACGCCAAGACGGCACCGCATATATATCTGCGCGTTACATCTTTCGCAAGATCGATTAGGCGTTTCGTAGGCATCGGCACTTTCGCGCCCGCCACGCGTCGCACGCGCGCGTTGACATCCCAATCCCTGGGTGTGAACGGGATCGCGCCTGCGAGAACGCAGTTACGTAACGGCCCGCCGAACCGACCGGGGAACGGAAGAATGTTGGCGCGTTAACATTTTTTTCTCTCTTTGTTTTGTTTTCTACAATGCGGCGGGGAGGGCGGAGTTATACCAATGTAACGGAAGTTGCCATTTTTCGTTAAACAGCGTACAAAGAGCGGCAAATTTTAAATACTTGTCGTAACTATTATTATAAAATGTCAATGCAATCTAAGGTAAAATTAAGTTATTCTATTTTTATTTTAATAAACGTAACAAGTTAATATGGAAAAATAGAAGATAAAATACATTACAAATACGAAAAATATAAAAAATTAATTAAAAACTTTTGAAGTTATAAATTTTAACCTAAGATGACAGCAAAAATATTGAAGCCATGATATAATTAATTTAATACACAGGTTACATTTCTAAATCTAATAGAGTATAATAAAAGTTATTACGTAAATTATACTTTTAACAACAAGGGAAGGAGGAAACTAAGAATTTCTACAATAAACTTAGTAAATATAGTTTGCTTTAATACAAAAACCTTTCTAAGTAGAATCTCATGTCTACCCAAACCAATTAGGATAATTAAAGAGAGCGATGACAACAGTGTATGTAGAAAACACAAGATACTGATTTTATATCATGCTGACTTAAGGACAGAGTACAAAGCAACGTAATAGTTTACGACCAAGACGCAAACATAAACGTAGATAGCGCACAAGCTTTTATTATTATTATTAAGTTCTTGGCTCCTGGCTCCATCCGGATCCAATACAGCCACGTCTAAAGCCCGTATCAGACTACGGATTGAGATTGGGATTAGATTGAAATTTGACCAATCGCAGTAAAGTTTACAATCTTAAGTTTAGTAACCTTTACTCTAATTGGTCAAATTTTAATCTAATCCCAATCCCAATCCGTAGTCAGATACGGGCTTAACCAATTGTCGTGGAGCGCACAAGCTTTGGCGTAAAAGTAACGTCATATGTAATTGGAGGTAAGTACGACATACGTCAAAGCTTGTGCGTTATCTATGTTTACGCTTACGTCTTTGTCGTAAGCTATTACGTTGCTCTGTGCTCTGACCCTTGTGCGTTGATGCGATAACCACAAAACATGTACATATGATTAGCTGTGCTAAGCTGCATCGGAAGTTAACGGAAAATGGCGGAGCCAATCGCAATCGGGAAACTATATTGGCATAACTCTACTTATAGGAACTCTAGTCGAAACGAGCGAGGAGGCGATACCGATTCTAATCCGCCTGCATGACCGCGACACGGAAGTGCCGGGGCACCTCGCTCCTCCCCGTTTCCGCGCATACATTCACCCTCCCTCCTCGCGCCCGATTTTTTTTTCTCTCTCTCGGTTGCAGGCGCGTGATATATGAGCGCGCACATCTTCTCTGCCGGGATCATCTCTCCCGTCCGCCCTAAATCCGACGACGAGATTCGTGTGACGTGGATGGATACGGGACGCCTCCGGTAGGCCACCGCGTGTCCCTTTAACCGCAGCCTCCTCGATTGGCTCGGGAATAGATTTCTGAATAAAATGTCAGACCTCGATGGCTTTTTCTCGTTTTGAACGGCACTAATGATTCGAAGCGTTTCTCGCGAGAGAGCCCATGCAGCACAGGTGGTTGCAGTTACATTGCAGAAACGTTGCAATCTTGCAGATTGCAGTGCAATCTTGCAGAGACATTGTAGGGATATAAAATTGCAAAGAACCCCGCACTAATCATATAGGAAATTGGATCTCGGTTAAATTGGCTAGTTTTCACATATGTTGTAGCTTATGACCTGCTGAACAAAAAATGTAATGGGCTCAAACTTAAATAATGGCTAGTTACTGAGCTACAGCCAGTCAAACATGGAAAATTTGGGCTCCGCGGGTCTTGTTTGGAAATACTTTGAAGCATATTAGGAAACAATGTTTCAGACAAAAGTTGTTTGGTTCGATGGGAGACATAAGACGATGCCATTAATTTGACCTTGGATAGTCATTTAAAGGTCACATGAAAATCAATTTCAATTTCTTAAATGGACATCCCTATCTTTCATTAGGTTGCTTCGCAATAGCTTGCTATGTATTGAAAAAGGCCCGGATGTATATGTAATTAGTAAATTCTCTGCTTATGTACAACAACGACAAATTATTCCAAAAATATTGCACTGCAACATTGCTATAATGTTGCACTGCAATCTCTCTGAGGGCGGACATTTTAACGTTTTAACTGCTGCAATTCTCCAGAAACGTTGCAGCAATGTTGCGCAACGTTGCTGCAATATTGCAATTTTTCTGTACTGTGTGGGAGGACGAATGAGAGAATCTTACTTTGCGGCTGCGATCTCAAACGGGTTTTGTCGAGGGGTAAACCGCTGACCAAAATCATGTATGCCTGCTAGTGCATAAAAATTTGACAGTAATGCCCGAAAATGCCATCGACGGTTTACCCCTCGATTTTCAAGTCTTTATGGAGCTTCCATCTGACGCTCTATTGCAGAAGAATCGGGGAACCGCAGGAAATTGACTCGTCTGTTCGACGTTCTCGACAGGGAGAAACCGATCTCGGATTGACCGGAGAACCGGCAGCGATTGAAAAGACATCCGGTGGCTTTTGAACATTGTATACTAGATGTAACTGACTCATAGGCGCGCGCGCGCGTAGACCTTTTTCATTTGGCGATGCCGTGTAGACGGCGATTTCAAATTTCAAAAAGTTTAAATAAACATTTTTCTTAAAAAGATAGATACAGATAACACGCGCATACAAAGCAACGAGGAAGCACACTCCCGGCATTCAACGCGCTCGTCTGAACTGATCCCGATCTAGTCAACAACCGCTAAGTTTAGTAAGAGTAAAAAAAATTGTAATGAGATGAAAAAGACGACGCCAGTCAAAGTGTCAGAATTAGATTACTTCTTCGTGGGAAGAAAGTGGGTTACATCATAAATAAAAATATAAAAATATTTCGACGAAAAATCCAAAGGAACAGAAGATTGAAATGTTGCCTCAGCCCGTTCGCCAGCGAGTCGACAATACACTTGTTTCTCGAACAGGGTGAAAAACTTGTCTCTTGGCGGCGGCATTTCCGTGCGCACGCCTATGACACGGCTTGGCCTTTGACACGCTTTCAGTTTCTCTCGCTCGCGTGTGAGCGACGAGACGGGACAAACGGAAGGTGATCGTGATTTCATCTCGTCTTTTTTTCTCTCCTTTGCACGCGTGCGACGTAACTTTCTTGCGACGGAATCGCCTTTCATCGCGGAGTATCTCGCGAGCGAACCGCTCCTGCGTTCTTCTCCCTCTCGCGGCGTCCGCAGTAAAGGGACGCTTCCGAATGTCGCATGCTATGCATGAAATCGCATTAAAATCTAATGTATATGCGTCGGTAACGGCACTTCGAAATTGCTTTCTTAAACGCGCCATGAGCTGCAAGTTCTATCTCGACGTTGCATCGCGCGGCATCGGATTTACGAGCTCTTAACGGCTCTTGTAAGACGAAAACTTGCGTGTCTCTCACATCGTTTATCATTACGCGTCTTTTATTTTTCTTTCATTTTTCCCGGTTTTTCAGCTCAAGAGATAAAAGTATTCATACGTGTACATATGTGGAATGTATATATAAACTTATATAACCTTCGATACCATTTTACCTTTGTTGTAGTATGTATTTTACTCCGACTAAACTTAGCGGTTGTTGGCTAGATTGGGATCAGTTCAGACGAGCGCGTTGAGTGCCGTGAATATTTTTCTTCGTTGCTTATGTTGCATACGCGCGTTATCTATAATATATCTACTTTTTTGAAAAAATGTTTAGAACGCGCGAGTCCTTGACATATATTTTTATAATTAAATCGATCGGTATTATTTGTCAGTTATTGTGCCGTTTATGTAACAGTTTGCCAAGGCATTGCAACATGACGAATATTTAATTGACCGAGAGTATCGAGCATTTAATACGATTTCATATTGAACGCAACGTTTCCCAACATTTTTATAAATTTCTAGATGAATCTCTTGAGGCTGCTTATAAAATCGAAAACGGTTTTGTTCAATTGTAAATTACTAAATAATATGGTAAAGGTCGGAAATTAAATTAATATTATTCATTTTAATTGTACAATAATATTTTTGTAAGAGCTTGTTTTTCACCTTTAAAAGGAATTTATTTAGGGAGAGATAGATCATTTTTCCATTAAAATTTCCGTTACATCGTTATACTAGGCTGTGCCATAAGTTTCTTTTTTTCTAAAATTTTATCTTACAGAATTCCCAAAACGGTTTTATTGCAGTATACAGTACCGGCCAAAATTATATCACCTTTAAGTCTTCTGAGCATCACTTTCGTCTAAACGTCACAACGTCAGATTACACGTATCCTTGGTCGTTAGGCATAAATCCTTTGCGTTTGATTGAGACGTTCTACCTTCCCGTCCGTATTCTCTGCTTTGTTCGATTGCTATCTGTTCCTTTTACTTAAAAATCTCAAAATAAAAGACATAAAAAAATCACTTTGCTGGCCAATAAAAAATGTTCTGGAAAGAAGGCATTGCGCGACTTTTAAAAAGGTGGAAGAAGATTACTAGACAGAGTGGGACAAGTATTTTACAATAAAACTTCGCTGTTTTGGAAATGTTGTAAAAGAAAATTTCAAAAAAGAACGAAAAAAAGAATGTGGGACAGACTGATATTTTTATGTAACAATACATTGGAATTAAAATCGCATTTTATTTACCTTTCTAAAATTTGTTTATTGAATGAAAATACGAAATGAAGATTTATGTAATTTTTTTTAGATTTTTTTCGATGCATTCAGCATATTTCAAAATATGTACATTTATAACAGCGTTTAGACATATATGTATTTCATATGGTAATCGCGCCGGAATTTATTACTTGCTGCACATGTGTCTAAAAGCCTTATAACTGGTCCAAATTTTTCAATCTATAAAAGGATATAAACTTTAATTCCACGAATATACAGGGTAGGCCATTTTAATCTACGCACTGATCTCTCAAAATCCATAAGTTTGAGACAAAAATGTTTCAGACAAAAATTGTTCAAGATAATGGGGGTCTGTGTGTTTTCTTCACACCGGTTGATTTGTCTCATTATTCTGTTCACAAAAGTATTAAGGTAAGATGATAAAAAAATGAATATTTTACTTTTGTCTGAAACATTTTTGTCTTACACAGAGAGAACGGTTTCTTTGAATTTAATAAATTTTATTAGATTCAAAGAAATTTATCTTTTGGAATAGTCCAAACAAACCAATTGTTGGTTCAACAAATATGATTATTTAACCTTTCAAATAATAAATAGCTTTACTTCAAATAAAATATTTGTTTGAAACGAAAGGAATATTCTCTTTAATCTAAACGATATTATTGTTTCATTCAAACAGCATTATCGTTTGATAGAAAATATGTGAAACAAATGTATATGCATACATCTTTCTCCCTCTACATTAGAATTTTCCCTTCATTAAAAGAAGAAAGATAAACACTGAATTAGTACACTATGTTCAGCTATAATAAAAAATAGACCATTAAATGCTTAAACTGCGTCTGCTGATGCGGTCGCTTATACATATCATAGCTGCCGCGATTTTACTTACGAGTTCGGCGGCCATCTAGTGGCAGCACCAAACTTTATAAGCGCCTGGCCAAATAATATAATTATTTCATTGAAAGATATTACTTCAAATAATAGTGTTTTTTCTATCAAATAATACAGGTTGTTTGAATAAAACAACAAAATTCTTATTCAAAACATATAATGTTTCGTATAAGCATATATTGTTTCAATGAAACAAATTTCAACCAAATAAATAGGAATACTAAGTAATAAATAGAAATCCAAAGAAACCGTTCTCTCTGTGTAAACTTATGGATTTTGAGAGATTTCAGCGCGTAGATTAAAATGGCCTACCCTGTATATATAATTTATACTAAGAAAAACAATGTATCGCGTATACGGTAATTGTAAGTAAATTTGCTTTTAATTTCGATTGTGCTTATAAATATCGTATTTTTCTTTATTTAGGGGGGCATTCTCCGAAGTGAGGCTGGCGGAGAGTAAAGAGAAGCCCGGTCAAATGTTTGCCGTGAAGATCATCGACAAGAAGGCACTAAAGGGCAAGGAGGACTCGTTAGAGAACGAAATCAAAGTTCTGCGAAGGTAGGGCGCAAAGCGATTCTGAGAGCTGGGACATATGTATTTTCGGTAGACAAGTTTTTCGTTCACCAGTACTGTAAATTCCTTGTTTGTGGTATATTGTTTGCCCCTTGGTATTTAGGTATTTGAAAAAAAACTGACAATTGAGTAACACGAGTACCAGTTCTATTATCGCTGGAATCAACCTCGATATATACTTATACGCATGCTTCTCTTTAACAAACATCCTTCATCTCGTAAGAATCATATTCTTTGAGTATCACATCCCCCTTTGTAGCTTTGAGTATAATCAAATAGATTCATATACCATGGCATCGCAAGTGTAAGGCTAAAAGGTATCGTCGAATGTTGACTTTTGCCTTTTCTTTTTTCGGGATTATCTTGAGAATCATAAATTGTTCGACGTCTATTCGATCACCTTGATTACGTGCGGGAAAAGTGTAACGGCTAATCCGTTATATAAGCTGTCCAATCATTGTGTGTTCTCTCACTTACACGATGTTACCATGGTGTTGTATAGCTCGGCTCACATAACATACTCTCGGAAAGATCCTTTTTGTTTCCGAGGAGCGCTGTGATATGGCATTTGAGAGTGAGCTCTGATGGCTGTCGTCTGTCCTTCTATTATCTTTGATGTTGTATGCAAATAATGTGCCTCGTACATAAGCGTATATATTATATTACATATTGTCTCGGTGCTGTTAAACATATCCCCAGGCATAATGCAGACTCAAAAGTCTTCTGTCATCATCCTTCATCCCTGTGGATACATGTACTTACAATGTCTCTCCTAACACTTTGGCTGGATACATGTTAAAGCGGTATTTGTCGATGTTTATTAGCATTGAGCTCTTTCTGTCGCCCTATTCTATTTTATTGCGACTTACATATCAGCTAAATCGAGACATGCTAAAAGAGTTACCAGTAATTACAAAGAAAGATCGATGCTTAAGAATCCTGTGTCGTTATCATTTATTGATCAGCACTGCAGGAGTACAAGGTGCTACATCATACATATATCATGCATCGCACAAATACACACACACACATAGAGCTCGGAGTTTTATGACTGAAAACTTGCTCTATACATCATGTTAAACGCACCAACATCGCCAAGTTACAAAACACGCATACATTATAACGGCAAGGTTGATGCTTTCTCTTAAATATAATGGATGTGGGAAAAGCTTGGCTAAAAGGAGAAGTAAATTTTCTATTATAAATAAGCGTGCCGGAGCTGAAATTTCGCGGAGAGGTGGAAAAAATGTATTGCATGCACACACGTGGAAATTCAATAACATCGATCGCACACATTGATAATAGGTGTGTCGAAGGTAAAGATACATCTATTTTCATACTACCACCGCCTGCCTTTCGCGACAAACGCGACACTAACTCACGCCGTGTGTTTGTAACTATACATCGATTTATATCACACAAATCCATCTCTTATACATCACGCTGGGGGAGAAAACGGAGCTCGTCAATGGGTAAAGAGTGTATAGAGTCAAAGAAACCTCGCGCGATCTCGTAAGCGATCAGCTGCTCCCGATGTAATATTATGTAATTGTGTATGGTATTTTTATTATACTTCGTAGGTTCAGTGAAAGTGCGACACCACAGAGTGGTGGCGGATCGCTCACGTCGGATAGTAGTGGCGAAAAGAGATGGTAAGTGCGGGCACCCCAGAGTATGGGCACCAGCTACCTATACCGCTCTCAGTATATTCTCTTATCACTCGACGATATGCCATACATTTTTACATTCTCAGAATATGTAACTATTGTTATATTTATACATCTATATATAATGACACAATCTGTGCACGTTCGTCACGACGTAGCGTTCAACACAGTTTTGGTATCCTTGTACTTGCCACCTTTCGCTAAACGAGGATCTACGGCGAACGGATGAAAGAGGAATTTGCAAGTCTCCTGGGAACATTTTACGCGGAAGAGATGAACGGCGCTGCAAAGCGCCTCTGTCAGAATCCTGTTTTTACCTTTCTCACATTTTTTCTTCTCGCCCACACAGCACAGAAAGATTGCAGGAAGATTGCAGAAATGTTACATTGCAAGATTGCAATATTGCAGCAACGTTGAAATGTCCGCCCTCAGAGAGATTGCAGTGCAACATTATAGCAATGTTGCAGTGCAATATTTTTGGAATAATTTGTCGTTGTTGTACATAAGCAGAGAATTTACTAATTACATATGCATCCGGGCCTTTTTCAAGGCATAGTAAGCTTTTGCGAAGCAACCTAAGGAAATTATGTCGCTTCGCAATAGATGGAGATTGCGAGCAACACCGCACTGATCAAGTACTTAATAATTCGCGCATTATTGGTATCAACGAAGATAATATTATAAAATTCTCGTAATTAGAAAAATTTTTGAAATAGAAAATATAGT